TTCTGTCAGTTTTTCCCAGCACACAGCCTAGTCTCCTCACAACTCCTATTCAACCCCAGGACTAGGAGCCTCCTGTCTTTTGTTCTGCTTCCTGGAGGCTTCTTAATCCCATAGGAGTCTGGACCTCCTGTGTCCCAAATAAGACACTTCTAATAATGAAAGGATTGTGAGTTAGCCCTCTCCTTTTACTACTACCCCGGAATTCTTCACCCATCATGGGTGAAACCCCTGAGTACACAAAAACAATTAAAGGGACCATAACCCCAAAATCGGCATGACATAGCACCTGTCCAGGACCCATCCTTGGCGTCCTGTACATTATTTATATATATATATATTCTTTCCTTTCTTATATATTCTTTATAGCCTCAATTTCCCCAAGACCACAGTAAGGCTAAATTGCAAAACATAGACCAGTGACTTATAAGCTTGGACATTCCTTGTATTCTGACTACCTGTGTTGTGTGAAGCATGATGTACTTGCTTTGATTCAGTAGTCGAAGAGTGCACAGAGCCTTGCCCTGACATTTTTGTACTTTTTGTTGAAAATGGTCACTGTCTCTTAAAAAAATGAATGGGAAATCAGACAGGCAGGGCAACACAGTTCAATGCAGTGCAACTGTGGCAGCACCTAAATATTGCAGAGTTCCCCTTTAAGCTTTAAGGTTTCTAAAGCATCTGTTTGCAGAACCAAGCTATCAGCTTGCTTTCTCTCCCTCATTTCCTGTGGAACAGTCTGTTAGCTAAATGTGCAAACCGCAAAGATTATATCCTGTATACTGCTATCACGTACCTGGTGACAGAGGGCAATGGAGAGAGGGCTTCCCTTGCGGCTAAGGTGGAACAGCAGGAGTCAGGCCCAGAGTAGCACAGGTCACCTGTGGGAGTGCTTGTTTGGTGGTCCACCCAGGAGCACGGCTGATGCGCTAAGATGGGGTCTGCAGGCAGGGAGCACCTGTGCGAGGTATGCAGGTCTTCCAGAGAACAGAGGATCACAGGATAACTAGTTCGAGCCAAGGTCGGGTACCAGGTGGGGATTGGAGGAGACGTAGTCAAAAGGGATAGCTGAGGTCATACACAGAGAGCAGGAGAGAAGATCTGTTAGACAAGCCGGGTTTAGGTCGGGGTTAAACGGAGCAGACAGGTCCAGGAGCAAGCCGAGTTGTTAACAGGAAATCACAAGTCACGATAGCAAGGGAATGAAGGTACTATGGAGCCAGAGATCAACCAGCACCTGAGAGTAGTGCATGGTTTCCTTATAAAGGCTGTTTGGTGACAAATTTGAGCCTATGTGAACTTCTGCGGCCATGCAAGGTACTGGCAGGGGTGCCAGGTCTCCTAACACCTCTGCCGAGGACAGAGCCCTGACAACTGCTTAGAATGTATTTCAAAAGTAGAAAAAGTGAAGAGGAAATACAGTTGCAAGAAAAAGTATGTGAACCCCTTGGGATTACGTGGAGTTTTGCATGAATTGGGCATAAAATGTGCTCTGACCGTCATCTAAGTCATAACAATAGAAGAACACAGTCTGCTGAACATAATACTACACAAACATTAGATGTTGCCATGGTTTAATTGCACATAACATGTAAACATTCACAGTGCAGGGAGGAAAAAGTATGTGAGGCCCTAGCTTAATGACTTCTCCCAGAGCTAATTGGAACCAGGAGTGAGCAAACCTTGACTCCAATCAGTGTGATGATATTGGATGTGTTGCTGACAGCTGTCCTTCCCTTAAAAAACACACACCTGTTTTGGGTTTACTGGTTTCAAGAAGCACTGTCTGATGTGAACCATGCCTCGCAGAAAAGAGCTCTCAGAAGACCTACGATCAAGAATTGTTGACTTGCATGAAGCTGGAAAGGGTTACAAAAGTATCTCCAAAAGCCTTGATGTTCATGTGTCCACGATAAGACAGACTGTCTACAAATGGAGAAAGTTTAGCACTGTTGCTACTCTCCCTAGCTGTGGTCGTCCTGTAAAAATGACTGCAAGAGCACAGCGCAGAATGCTGCATGAGGTAAAGAAGAATCCCAGAGTGTCAGCTAAAGACCTACAGAAATCTCTGGCACATGCTAACATTTTTGTTGACACATCTACAATAAGGAAAACAAGAATGGAGTACATGGGAGGACACCACGGAGGAAGCCATTGCTGTCCAAAAAGAATATTGCAGCACGTTTGAAGTTTGCAATAGAGCACCTGGATGTTCCACAGCACTACTGCCAAAATATACTGTGGACAGATGAAACCAAGATTGAGTTGTTTGGGAAGAACACACAACACTATGTGTGGAGAAAAAAAAGGCACAGCACACCAACATCAAAACCTCATCCCCACTGTAAAACATGGCGGAGGGAACATCATGGTTTGGGGCTGCTTTGCTGCCTCAGGGCCTGGACAGATTGTTGTCATTGATGGGAAAATGAATTCCAGAGTTTATCAAGACATTTTGCAGGAAAAACGTACGACCATCTGTCCACCAACTGAAGCTCTGTAGAGGATGGGCGATGCAACAGGACAATGACCCAAAGCATACAAGTAATTCAACAAAACAATGGCTGCAACAGCACAGAATATGCCTTCTGGAGTGGCCCAGTCAGAGTCCTGACCTCAACCCGACTGAAATACTGTGGCATGACCTTAAGAGAGCGATTTACACCAGACATCCCAAGAATATTGCTACACTGAAAAAGTTTTGTGAAGAGGAGTGGTCCAAAATTTCTCCAGATCGTTGTGCAGGTCTGATCTGCAACTACAGGAAACGTTTGGTTGAGGTTATTGCTGCCAAAGGAGGGTCAACCAGTTATTAATTCCAAAGGTTCACATACTTTTTCCTCCCTGCACTGTGAATGTTTACATGTTATGTGCAATTAAACCATGGCAACATCTAATGTTTGTGTAGTATTATGTTCAGCAGACTGTGTTCTTCTATTGTTGTGACTTAGATGACGTTCAGAGCACATTTTATGCCCAATTCATGCAAAACTCCACGTAATCCCAAGGGGTTCACATACTTTTTCTTGCAACTGTATATGCATTGTGACGTAATTGTTCGTATATACTCCAGATGCTTTTGAAGACACTTAGCTTGCAGATATTAGTCCTTGCTAAGTCCCAGCTGGTTAATAAAGCTTGTTTTCCTCAAGTTCATGTCTGGAGTTTTACCTGGAATTCACAAAGTTGCTACTACAAAACAGCTGTAAACAGTTACGTATAAAATACAGAAAGAGAAAGCTTGTGTGGCCAGGTGCTTTCACCAAGACGGCAGATGATACTAAGCTTGATTGCAGATTGAGCACATACAGTACAGGTAAATTGTTGCAATAGTGATTTTTATCCCTTCCTGAGACCTCTATGTTTGGCCTGAGAGACAATCACTGCAGACAATCATTTTCAAACAGCTAAACTTACTAAGTATTTGCCTTCACAAATATCTTTATTTTATTCAGAAGGTTCAGGCAACCAATATGATGCGGCAGATGTAGGTATTTTCAAGATCAAACAAAATACTTCTTTCCTAACTTCAGTGAATGTACTGCAGAAGAAAGAAAGCAGAAACTCATATTGAGAAAGAAAAATGTTAAATCATACAAGAAGGGAGGATAAAGCGAAAATGAGTGACGTAAAATACAGTGGCCAGGCAGGCAGCATAATAATAACTTAATGAAAGACAAAAATGCACACAAATGCAATTGCATTGTCAATATAACTGCTTGAGTCAGCACAATCACCATCTGGTATCATCAGATCAGATGTTACCTATTACAGTACATGAAAATGGTTACATGTAAGCAAACACAAAATAACCAGTGCTATTTACTTTAGCTGTTTTGAAAATCTGAGGAGCATGTATATCATGCAACAAATAACTTTATGGAAACGACATAGTGCAACATATAATGTAGGTTTAATTACCTTGACAGTTTTTCTCTTGGGTAGACCATACCAGGGGCGGACTGACAACTCATGGGGCCCCCGGGCAATATGGAATCATGGGGCCCCTGTGTCCTTGCCCACACTCAAAAAAAGCACCCTACTGACCCGGGCCCTTGGGCAGTGCCCGAGTGATCAAATGGTCAGTCCGCCCCTGGACCATACAGCTCTTATTTCATATGCAGGTGAAGTTAAATCCCCAAATAACAATTGCAATACAAGTTCAATTGGGTAAAAAATATATTCTCTGTGCTTAGCCAAAAGAAATATACAGTATATGTATGGACTGCTGCAACTAAAATATCTGAATACTAGAATCAATCTCAATATAAAATAAGCAGGGCACTGTCCCTTTAAATAATACATGCACTTGTTTAACAAATGAATAGCAAGTGAAAATAAAGTCCCACAATTCATATACAAATAAATAAACATCAAAATAAATTAAAAAGTCCCAAAACTGATTATGAGAAAAGTGCTCTGTGCTGGAAAAGCTTCATATAAAGTGCTCTGTGCTCAAAAGTGCTCCTTATAAAAAGGCAAGCCTCTTATCAAATGGAAATGATCTCAAGCTGTAGATATCAAAAAAAGTATGTACACTCCAGGCTGGCACTCTGACTGTCAGACTCTCTGAAGAATAAATACGCTCATCAAAGGAGTACATGGTCCCACTAGGAATCGGCTCTAGCCTCTCATGTCGCTCCCCACGATCATATGTGCAAGGTTTAAACAAGGAGAATCCTCACAGTGCAATAAGGTGAAAAACAATAATTTACTAAAAAACGTATTGTACTTACATTCACGTAAACAGAATAAAGCAGTATACAAAGAAAATCGTCCGGCTGCGATGTCAGCCCGCACACTGTCAGCCTGCTTGGTGCGCGATCAGGGGCGGACTGACAACTCATGGGGCCCCCGGGCAATAGGGGATCATGGGGCCCCTATGGCCTTGCCCAAACTCAAAAAAGCCTATGAAAATGGTACCAGGGGCATCTCATGGGGCCCCCTACTGACCCCGGGCCCTCGGGCAGTGCCGGAGTTTGCAAATGGTCAGTCCGCCCCTGTGTGCAATGGCATCACACACAGACTTCGCCAGGAGGACAAAGTCTGTATATATTGCAGATATAGCTTGAGATGTTGCCATTTTGTGTGTCCTTGAAGAATTGTAAAAATTATTTTTTTCTATCAATTCCAGGAGAACTTGGCCAGACGTTATACATGCTTCCATTGACTTCCAGCAGAACTTATGCTTTAAAGTCTTCAGGTGGAACAGAAACAATCTCAAGATTCTGGGTAAGAAAAGACACTAGAATAAGAATATCTAGGAACTGTAGATCTGTAAACACTTGCAATAGGGTGTACAAGCCTTGTCCAATTTGAAAAAACATTCAAAGTGATGGTATCAAAAGTTGAACCTCTGGATTTGGTAAAAAGGGAATTGAGTTAAGGAGCGATCTCTGGATTGTTATCAGGGTCTGGGAGGCTAAAAATGTCTGCAGTAGTACATTCTGCATGATTCAACAAAAATTCCGAACCTTACCTTTAAAAAAAAAAAGTATTTAGGACCTGTTAACCAGGACCAATTTGCAAAAACATTTGTGGATTCTGGGAACATTGTCATTGGCCAGGATTGGATGACTGCTTAATCCTCAAAAAAGTAAAGCCAAATGCCACTACACCTCCTTTTCTAATTTACCTACACTGTTCTACACTTGCCTCACACCTATCTCTGGAAGTGCAGTGCCACTCAATACCAAATCAATCGAAAACTGAAAAACAAATGATATCTTATACTTATGAACAATAAAAAAAAATACAAAAATATCTTTGTTAGAAAAAAAGGACATCATTGATTTGTTTCTGACACTTTAAAACTGACAGATCTGTTGTTATAAACTCAGGTTACCCCCCCACACTCATACAACTTGCTTGTTACAGTGCTTCTCATAATCAATCTTCCACGAGTTAAAACTATAAAATCCCATTGGGTGGCAGACCACACTCAGACAAGACTGTTCTTTCTGCCTCAGGCTGTTATTTCCTTGCATATAATTATTTCCCTGCATATAATTGTCCACATAAGACAATTTTATCCTCCTCCATTTCAAACAAATAACAGAATGGTTTATCTCACAGCCTTATTGCTAGAAGCGTTCCTCCTCTCCCTTTGTAGAGGTGTTAGCAATTTTTTTTACTTTCAATATTTTTATTGTCTTTTATATATAAAACTTTTCATTCAAAATGAGATACATCTAGACCAGGGGTCTGCAACCTTTAAGACATAAAGAGCCACTTGGACCCGTTTCCGAAGGGAAAAAAAAGACTGGGAGCCGCAAAACCATTGCAACATTTATAACAAATCCGACACTGCATATATTGCAAAAAGCACTCTGGTCATGAAGGGGGTTTAAGGGCCCAGTAAGCAAAGGGTTAATCAGGGCCACAGTGTATCTTCATAATCACAATCATAGCCTTAGGTCAGTGGTGGGCAACCTTTTTTTTCAACTGAGCCAAATCTCGCCAAAACCACGATTGAAATTTATTTTGACAGCCACATTTTTAAAACTGAAAATACATCACCCATATAGTAATTCATCCCCCATATAGTAATTCATCCCCCATAGTAATTCATCCCCCATATAGTAATTCATCCCCCATAGTAATTCATCCCCCATATAGTAATTCATCCCCCATAGTAATTCATCCCCCATATAGTAATTCATCCCCCATAGTAATTCATCCCCCACATAGTAATTCATCCCCCATAGTAATTCATCCCCCATATAGTAATTCATCCCCCATATAGTAATTCTTCCCCCATAGTAATTCATCCCCCATATAGTAATTCATCCCCCATATAGTAATTCTTCCCCCATATAGTAATTCATCCCCCATATAGTAATTCATCCCCCATATAGTAATTCATCCCCCATATAGTAATTCATCCCCCATAGTAATTCATCCCCCACATAGTAATTCATCCCCCATAGTAATTCATCCCCCATAGTAATTCATCCCCCATATAGTAATTCATCCCCCATATAGTAATTCTTCCCCCATAGTAATTCATCCCCCATATAGTAATTCTTCCCCCATAGTAATTCATCCCCCATATAGTAATTCTTCCCCCATAGTAATTCATCCCCCACATAGTAATTCATTCCCCATAGTAATTCATCCCCCATAGTAATTCATCCCCCACATAGTAATTCATCCCCCACATAGTAATTCATCCCCCACACAGTAATTCATCCCCCACATAGTAATTCATCCCCCATATTGTCTCAATTCACTTACCTTTGCTCCGCGCGTTCCTCTCGCTGTGTTCCCGCGCCCGTTCTGGTCTTCAGGGCGGACTGAGAGAGGAGTTCGTCACTCTGCCCCGCCTACATCCTGCCTGCCCCACCTACATCCTGACAGCCAATGTTCCACGCTCCGCGGGCCGGATTTTTGAGGAGGGAGGGAAGCGGGCGCCCGGCACACAGAAGAGCCGCATGTGGCTCGCGATCTGCGGCTTGCCGACCACCTGGTGGGCAGTGTGCTCCGGAGCCGCAGCAAAGATGAAAAAGAGCCGCATGCGGCTCCGGAGCCGCGGGTTGCCGACACCCGATCTAGACAAATGAATTAAATACTAGTCCTGGGGGTGGTTATCATGTTCAAGATTGGTCATCATGTTCAAAACTTCCAAAAAGAATCCTCAAGGTACCTAAAAATATATATACGAAAAAAAAACGAAAATGCCTATTCTGGGAGTCCCTAGACACCATGCCAATGAGAAACTTACAGAAAAATAACTAGTATTGGACTCAACCGGAATAGGGAATTTGTGAATACTCAAGAAAAATAATTAAAACAAAGGAGAAGGTGATCAGTAGCGCACGAAAACTTCTTTATTACAGACAAAATTAAAAGTATAAAACAAACACACAAAAAAATCAAGGTCCCAAGTAGGTAAATTTCTGTCAGGGGAAAACTCATTAGTAGAAAGATAATTATATGGATGACTCATATGTAGGACTCATTTTTAAGCTATAACATGTTCCATGCAGGAAAGGGTGCAAAGCTATAATAAAAAAGCTCCTATACTCAGAATTGACGAGCTATAAGCACCAGGATAAACCCAGCGCCAGACCAATCATACAATGAGAATGGTGTAAATGTTAGTGTAATAAAGGGAGGGATGCAGGAAAGGTAGTAAACCCCCCCTCATACACTAGACACCAAGGCATAAAGATCACAACAGCAACTGATCCTAAACGTTTGACCACATGTAGTCCAGAGGAGGATGTAAATAATGGTATTTAAAAGGCCCATGACCCTCTCAGGTGCCAAGCTGTAGGGCACCCTCCTGGGGAGATCCTAACAGGCCACTGTAACCTCCCTCATACATGATCAGGTCAAGGACTAAGCTGGCGTATTGATGGATGTTCCTGAGAGTAGGTATGCTCTAGAGGTGGTTTTAGATGGAAAGTGTACTCCCTTGAGGGGATGTAATATGTAGTGGCCGTAGATGAACTGGCATCGGGATTTGCCTCAAATTGAAGGTAATCAGTATAGCCAGTAGACACTCAGAATATGCAATAACTTCTCAATTAAAGGAATGGCATTAGTTGAATAGAGGCACAGTCCCTTTGATAGACAGGTGCGGGACAGACTAAAACATTTAATGTGAAAATGGCTTAATGTAGCTTAACGTGTAATAAACTGCCTAAATCTCAATCAATTGACTTGAAACTTTGCACATCCCACGTTCTCAACATCCCAAACATGTCCTAGAAGTTTCATAGATTTCAGCCTTCCACAAAGAAAATGGGGGACATTAAGCTTTTTTTTTGGGGAGCTTAATGTAGCTTAACGTACAAAAAAGAGCCTAGATGTCGACCAATTTCCCCCAAACTTCACACAATAGAAGACTCTATCAATGGAAACATATTCTGAAAATTTCAGGTCATTTGGTAAATCACTCCAAAAGTTATTCACATTAAGCTATATTTTACAGTGCTAAAACATTTAATGTGAATAGCTTAATGTAAAAAGAGCTTAACGTACCATAAACGGAAGTGCTGTATGAGACCCCTATTTAAAGGGGAAGGTATATGGTGACTTGTTTTTAAATGATGTCAATTAGCGGAGGTGAGTGCAGAGATTGAAAGAGGGTGGGATTCACTCGAGAACTTATGCATGTGAAGGAGGAAATAAGACACAATATAGTGAATTGAAGAAACTTGTTTTTAAAAACATTTTTACATTATTATTATTATTTTTTTTTTATACAGTATTTATAAAGTTATAGTTCGCTCAGCGCTGTACATTACAAAGGGGAACAAAACATGTGACAGAACAATACCAATACAATGCAAAACATGAGGGGATCGAAGGCCCTGCTCTTTCGAGCTTACAATCTAGGAGATGGATGATACACTCAATTACACTGTTCAACAGGTAAAAAGTTTTGGGCATAAAATTAGCTAATCTTACATAATTTTGGGGTGCTGAAAACGAAAATGACCCTAAAAAATGTTGATTGGCTCTAGTTTCCATGATATATTCACCCATCTAATGACGTAAGCCATTCAAAATTATGATGCAACTTCAGCTGCATATTGCGCAATTGATACTGGTGACCAATAGAAAATTGCATGTATACTGAGATGATGCAATATTAGCATTTAATTGCATCACTTCACTTTATAAAAGCTGCAGTATCTGTAGCTGATTGTAGTTCGACAGCGTCTTTACATTTCGTTTTATGCTTATATAGGCTACTCAGTAATGCCTCGAACTTGTGTGAATAAAGCAGATAATTTCTGCTATATCTGCGGTGAAATAACTTTTATCTCACAAAAAAGGAGGATAACAGGAATGATTAAGAAAGCCTACAACTTGTATTTTGGCTGCAAGATAGTCTTTGTTGGGCCACAGATTCGTAAACTTATTCATGATGATGAGTTTCTTTCTCTGTTGCGTGGAAAGGAAAAGGCTGCCTGGACAGCATTTGTATCAGTGACATCAAATTTTCTTGGAAACAATAAAACACCAGACTACAAGAAAGTAGTAGAAAAAC